GGGTAAGTAGAGCTAGTCATCACATCGATGACAGCTCGCTGATGTTCTATTTCAGGTTCAATACTCTTCTCTGGTGGTGAAGAACACGTAATCGTGAAGTGGACATTGAATTTCAGCTACGTCGAACGAAACCGCGAATTCATTCCCCGAGTTGGCTCTAACATCCTGTGGCTTTCCCTGTCTCCGGATTCGTCGACGATCGCGGCGTGTCTCAATGATAACAGTACGTGATGTTCAGGCTTCGATTTTCGAATTTGGCCATATGATACCAATGTTGTTTCTATGCGCGTCGTTTAGGTATCATAATTGCCTCGAATCATATGCGAGTGTTGCAGAGGATACATGGTTTGATTCGCCGGTCCGGCATGTATCTGGGCAAACTGCAGGACAATACTCAAGCATCGCTCTTTCCAGCCGGCCTGTGCTACGACGGCGTTGGCTGTGGCGGATCAACCACCCGTGGCTGTCTCATCATGAATGGCCATCTCGGTCATTTGTTCTTCTACGATGTGAAGAAACATCATCTTCGGTTCAGCGTGAGTCAATTTCCGCATTCAGTACTTGTCCTCTATGGCTTTTAGCGCAACCGAGTGACGTCACAAGTCTGATTTTCTACCGGAACATACTTTTTCATTTGCCTGTGTTTCCCATTTACATCGTAGCAACGTTGGATAGATTCCTTTTTCGAGGAAATTTACGAATAATGCAGCTGTCGACCCTCCTCCGAATTCAACCCTGACATTTCCAGGGTGTGAAGCCGGTCCGCTGTCCACGTTTACGATCAGTGCCTGTAACATGTTCTCCAGAGTTCCTTCACGTAATTCTGTCTGTCTAAGACAAGCTCAGATTGCAGATCTGTTCACAGAACGGCGGCACAGAACCGGCAGAGCCGTCGCTGGCGTTTAGCCAGACAGTGGAAGAAGTGTATCAGTTTTGCGGCTTCGTGAATTCGCCAGGATCTCATGGATCTGATGTGCCCCGCCGTGTCTCCTACCATCCCGCTACAAAGGTTATGCGGTTCCTCTGTTCATGGAGCGTCCTGTCGCCGCGCACCTAAATACGTGTCATTTATTAAACCTATGCGCTACCGACCTTCCGAAATATTATATCGGTGTTTTGACCTCGCGACGTTCTTTTAAATGAGGACTCAAATACGGCTCCTCAGCATTGCGTACTTTGCAGGCTTTCATTGACTGGCCAAGAATCGGAAATTTTATGACGTGTTTATGGTACCAAATGATGTCCGTTTAAACTTATCTAACTCTGATTATGCTGGCACATTGACCAGTGTTGCTTAATGGGTAGGACTTTGAACTCATAATCGACAGATGCCGCATTCGATTCCCGGTCCGGTCATTTGCTACCCTTCCTTCCAAGGTTGATAAAACAGTAGAACATGGTGGCAATAGAAGATTAAGCACTATGCTTGCCATATAATTTTTCGAATCTGCCTTTAAAATAGGGTAGAGAAGACCGGAGTTCCAACAGTTACAAACTTTCATTTTCCTTTTTTGTGCTTACATGTTTATTATCAGGTCGCGGCGAAGTTTCGTTTTTGCCATATATCTGTTGTTCTGATACTGGCTTAGTCCTATTTATGATAAGCTTTCCAGACATACGCTAGGCTTATCTTTGATTTCAACAGTTCTGGTTCATATCCTCAATTTGCTGTTCATGCTATCCATCTGACAGATAAGCAGTGTTTCCAGCAAATCCTGTTTATTAGCATGCATTACTGTTACAATGATTTTCTTGACTACTTGCGTTTGACGTCTGCTCGTTCGTAAACCCAGGTGACATTCAGTTTTATACTGTATGGGAATTTCTGATTCCTTGACTTATCATCCATCTTCTCTTTACTTTTCATTTTTATCACCCTTGTCCCAAGAAGTCGCGATGCTGAATCGATGTATCGATAGTTACTCTTTGACCAGTCCTTTGTTAAACGATATTTGTTTTTC